TTCAATGAATTTTTTTTTAAACAAGTAATTTTTAGCAAAAAAAAAACCGACTTCAACTCTCATATAAAAAAAAAATATATATATATATATCTCATGATCCACTGATCGGATCTTAACCAGATTAGTATGGGACCACCTCTGATGCAAAATTTTCCGATTCAAAATTATCGAAATCGGTTGACGTGGTCCAAAGTTATGCGGTAACATACATAAAAAAAAAAAAAAAAAAAAAAAATTCCGACGAACTGATAACCTCCTCCTTTTTTGGAAGTCGGTTAAAAACAAAACACTGCCAGCCTCACCAACACTGAAATTACAGTCACTATTGTAAGTAATTTTTAAGTTTCAATATCTGGATTTATCCAAAAGCTATCAGTTAGCTAACAATCCGTAAAGTGATTTAAGGTTTTTCTTTATTAAGACAACGATATGAGCGTTCAACAGGAACTCAACTTAAGGAAATGGTTAATGTTTTCAAAATTTTGTTTCTTTTCTTATCACAAAAGAAAAAAATTGTGCTTTATTTCAAAATCAACCGTTATTTTAAAAATTATATTATACATACATACATTAGCCCAATAAAGCATATATACTGACTATTTGCAATGCAAAGATTTTTAAGTATTTTTTGGTTGCTTTGAATAACTCTATAAATATTTTAAATAAGATTTGAGTATGCAATTTTGTAGTACCCCTTCATTTTTTGGACCAGCCTTAAATTCATTTTTTAAATTTTTCTTAAAATTTTCTCGATTTTCTTGTGCAATGCGATATGAATCAATTGAGAAAAAATCGTATGTCGATTCCCGTATTTTTTTAGATCGATCCACGAATCGAATCGGAATCAAAAAGAAATATTACGCAAAAGATTAAAGGTCTTTGCTGATTTCATGAGTGTGACTTTTTTCTTACTAATTCATAAGTTTATAGAACGCTTATTCGTATATTTATAGAACGCTTATAGGGTCGCTGATAGTTAGTTTATTATAGTTAATACATTATTCAAAGTTCTGCTAGACAAAATAAGATAAGGCTGATAATTTTTATTATGCTTCGTATTGATTTGATAAGCTGATTATTAGCTCGGTAAGGGTCAATTTCATACTGGATATTTTTCAAAAATCCTACTTTATTACTCATGCACTCGCCATAACTTTAATATTTGTCACAAAGCAATCAGCCATCAACTGCTATCGTCAAAATAAAAATCTAGTCATGGATTTTTATAGTACTTAGTCATTTAGATATTTATGTAATGCCTGCGACACATATATAGTTTAAAAATTACGATATCAATATTAGTGGTAGTTTTTCGTTGCTACATAGCAACTACAATGATTCGTAGTATGAGGGTGACACACGTATGGTATAGATCGCAGTATTGATACCATACTACGATGTGTGTCTCTAAGGCTATTACGCAATCCACAGCAGTCTGATTTTTCGTGAAATCTACGGAACTGCGATCACTGAATCCGAATTGCTACGATCGTGTGTGTTCAAAGTATACGATGTACACCATGTGTTAGCTTTTCTGACGAAACGCATTTTCATCTCAGCGGCTTTGTTGACAACCAAAACTGGAGATCGGATAACCCGCACGTAATCGTCGAGAAGACAATGCGGTGGCATCTTTTGCCCATTTTTATTTTAAAATGCTGCCGGAAACGCCATTTCGTTCAACGGTGAGCGCTACAAATGCATGATTTTTTATGGATGGAAGTTTTAGACATGGCCTTGGACGACCTTTCAACAGGATGGCGTGACATGCCACATTTAAAAATTCCATCTCTGTCTCCGATATTTCAAACTTTTTCACTGCCAGAAACGCCACGGTTTTTTAACGTTTAATGGCCAAATTTGAGAACCCGGCTTCGTAAACTATGAGCCGAAACTGGAATCAAAGGTAATTTTAGAACATCGGCGCTGTTCACGAAAGAGTGCAAAGGAGAAGGCAAGGCAGTCAGTTAATCTACGACGCACAGTGCTGTATGAGCGGGCAAAAATCAAAAAAATTGTTGTCACGTATGTCAACGTGTTTGCTATCGTTGGAAAGGAAATTTATCCTAGATTAAGGATCTGGACTTAGTTTCTGTTTTTATCTCATAAGGTTCTCACAAAAACCTCTTAAAGTTGTGTGTTTTTTATATATTTTTTCTTTTATGAAAATGCCTTTAGCTGGAGTCTTTAAAAAAAAAATTGCTAAAAATACAATTTATCATACTTTATCTTAAGACACAATTTTTCTAATTAGAAAATCTGTAAGGAAACCACTCTATAGAGCTTTTTAAAAAATATTGAGTTTCCTGGCTGGAATGGCCTATTTGCTACACCCTAAAATTTGTTGCAGAAAATTTAAAAAATTCCTAAGTTTACAAAGGGATAAAAAAAATATGTAAAAGTATGTTTTTTTTTATTCTTTTATTTGAAAGAGGGGGATTTTTATTTGAAATATAAAAAAAGTCTACAGACTCATAGCGCTTTTTGAAGAAAATCGTTTTTTTTAAGGTTATAAAATAAACTTTTGCAAAAAAAAAATTTCACTGATTACAGTTACCACAGTATTTTCCATTACTTAAATGCCAAAACATTCTTTAAAAATAGTAAAGTTTATTACTGTAGACACACGCGGTAGTGTTCTGTGCTGTGTAGTGAAGCGTAAAATAGTGAAAAAACTAATATTAATATGAATTCAATTATAAAAAACTCAATTTTAGCTGATATCTGGATTTCTACTCGTCCATCAGATAGAGTGTCTGCATTATCTGCATTTTTTGAAGACAAATTAATACACGCTAAATGCGACAAAGCACTTTTGAATCAAAAAATAAAACTTTTTAATAGTGAGATGAAAAATAAGTGGAATTATAGTGGCCGCAAAAGAAGCGCTTTTGAAAAAACATATTCTAAATGGCTAAATTGGACATTCCTTTCCCTTCCGGATTCCAATGGAAATAAGGATAAATGTGCTGAACGGGGAAGACCTTCTAAAGAAGAATTTTGCGAAGCTTCACGGAGAACAAAAAATCGAAGGGTAGAGCATTTGTTGAAAAACTATTCCATCGAAGAGCTCGAGTATGCTCTGAAAAAAATGAAAAAAGCAAGCAAAGTTGAATGTTTTGAAAGTAGTACCGAAGGTTTGCCCATATCTGATTCACTCGCACTATACATAGATCTGAACTTATCAGATCGTAAATATAATAGTTTACGTGCAAAAATAAACCGGTTGCATAAAGATTGTATACCGAGCTTAAACGCATTGCAAACAAAAAAACAAACTTTGCTGCCAACGATTAAATCGACTGAATATTCAGCCGAAGTTGATCTGAAATCATTATTGCTGAAAACAACGCAAAGTATTTTAGAACTAAGCCCAGATAATGGTGACATAACCAAAGCTTCTTTGGTTTGTAAGTGGGGCATGGATGGAAGTTCGGGGCATAGCCGCTATAAGCAAAATTTTGGTGACGACAAATTAACGGATGAGTTTATGTTCATCATTGCGCTAGTCCCTCTGAGGTAACAAAAAATTATCTAATATGTCTTCCAAAAACATTCAATAGCCTTTAAAAATAAATTCGAGTTTAGATCAGTAAATGGCATTTTAATTTACATTGACAACTTTTTACAGTATTATTTTGCAAAAGGCTGGTCTGAATTAATTAATTTACTCGATTAGCTATTTTGCGATATGACGGTCTTATATCTTTTCGACAAGCCATATAAGTTATTAAAAAATAAATATTTTTTCCAGGTTAATTGATTTGTCATCCAACAAAAAACGGCGTTAGATAAAACAAATAATTTTTGATTCAGTATTTTGCAACAACTCTTGTTCGTGCGAAGTAACTAATAAAAAGGAAAACAAAATTATATTTGTCTTTTGAGTATTTAATGTCGTCTTGAATGAATCAAATTTTTTAAGCGTGTGACATCCACACCAAAAGATATAATCAATTTAAAAAAAAAACATTTTGTAGTCAAAAAGGACCATGAAAGTAGCTGCCATTCCTAGAGGGTTTGCGTAAGAGAGATATAGGGAATCTTATTTGCCATGAATTAAGCCATAGAATGAAGCCTTGAAGTCTTTAATATTATTAGGAAAACGCCCTGTATAAATAATAAAATAACTACTCAGTATTGGAACTACTTCTGAATATCAAATTTTGCAGTTTCAATCTCAGTTTCCATGAAAAATGTAAGAGCTAGGTAAAAAAAAAATTTGATTTTTGAAATCTCCGTACTCTAATCCACCAAGAAATCCGTCCATTATTCTATTTTTGCCCACTTTTTATATGGCGGTACAGAACGGTGATAACTTATTTCTCTTGGCCCAAATAAAATGTTAGCAGGACGGCGCTCCATGCCGCACAGCGGACGCAACGATGGATATTCTGCAAGAACGATTTCAGGCTATGCCTATTTCTCACATAAGTGTGGTGAATACGCCACCAAGTTCGTAGTTCTATGCCAAGAAGCCGATATCAAGCGATGCCCGACATAACCCAGCCCATCATTCAAATTCAGGCGGAACTAAATATCTAAATATGCGGCAAAGTCACGCAAAGTTGGACCTCTCAAGTCCATACAAATAACTAATAGCTGTTTTTGATTATGGTTTACCAATTTAAAAATCGCATTTCTATTATCCATTTATTCGAACATATCAATATGTAGATTTTCAATTGACTCATTCTTGTGTGCTGCCGTGTTAAGTAAAAAGCTCGCAATATAATAATAATAACGATATCGAATGAATAAAACGATATAATCAATAACAATTTTGTTTGCACTGAAGTAACTAAATTAAACATTTTTGCAAATCATGCATATCACACAAACTTTTTGGGGAAGCTCTCCTTTTTCTTAAACAATTAAAATTTATATCAGCGCTTTTTTAAATTTTTTAAAAGTTTTTTTTTTGCCAAAACTTTGCAGCAGACGAATGTTCTGAACTTAATAAATATTTTTCCATATGATGGAGTGGTTTCTGTTGACTTTTTCCTAATTAAAATATAAAGTTAGTTTTTTTTTAAGTCATTTTAAATTTGTAATGTAGAAAAGAAAGAAACTGTAGCAGTTTCTGAAGGCAAGCACTGGCCAAAGGCTTGCAGCAGCAATGGTTCAACTGCGATTGTACCCATAAAGTCTTCAATGGAAACCTAAAAACCGTATGACAATTAGTGTTATTTGAAATACATATATACATATGTAAATTCAAATTAAACAACAAAGAAACGACTAAACGACTTAAGATATCAAAACACTTCTTTCCTACCTTGCCATCCTTATCCAAATCGAATTTCTTCAAGACGATCTCCACCAAATCTTTAACACCTTCATCCGGATCCTCATCCTGTGGCTGTTTGATGAGACAATTACGCAACAGCGTAAACATTTCATCTTTCGTTATAAAGCCATCACCGTTCAAGTCATAGACACGAAAGCAAAAGTTAGCGCGCTCAGCTAGCGAACCACGCAGAAAAATCGACAAGCCTGTCAACCAACCATCCAAGCGCAATGGCAAACCTTCGTGAGCGCGATCCCAACAACAAAATATGCGTTCCATTAAAATTTCTTCGGTGACAATATCGAAAGTGCTGTGCAGCAATTCGCGGAAGACGATGCGATCGACACCCTGCAAATGGGGAAGGGAGAGCAGAAAAACAAAATACATATGTATATGTACATTAGGGTGCCTCACAAAAAACAAAGTTGCGAATTTACATAGGTATTATAAAATTTATTATATTTTAAGACTTCCGCTAAAATATTTCGAAAAAAATTAAGATTTATCTACTTGAGCTTGACCGATTTTAAAATAGTACCAAAAATCGAGATTTTTATAAATAAAATTATTTTTTCAAAATATCTTTTCCAAAAAGATGGAAGAGTTAAAGCTTAAAAGATCAGCATAAAAATGTGAAGAAATTTTAACAACAATAAAAACAAATTAGATTCTTGCAGGTAACGTAAATCTTATTATTTGTCTGCAATATTTTGGCCGAAGTCTTAAAATGTAATAAATTTTACATTTCCGATGGAAAAACAGTGCCGTACCGACTTTTTTTGTACGTAAATATGTGAAAATAAAAAAATCATTGGAATTTATTGATTAGCAAAGCGATCAAAGACCGAACGAGGCGCAGTGCTGCTACCGCTTTTGTAAGTCTGCTTCATATTCATACATATGAGCAAATCCCACGAGTTTTTTTTTTTAGTGTCACTTCCTACTCTCGGCATAAAAAAGCTAAACCATTCTTCTTCCATTTTTTTTAATCAATGGAGTTCCAAAAACAGGCACAAAAAAAATAAATCAAGTATTTGAACAATTTTAACCTTAAAACGTTTACCTAGGCGAAAAAGTACCGAAATTCCTTATTTTTCCATTACCATTAAAAAAAAACCATAATGTTTGTTTTTTAATAACTTTGGGAAGTATTAAAGGCAATGGATGTCGGCATCTAATAAAACATATCTGTGAAGTTGCAAGAGTGTGCCACGTAATTAAGAAAAATGATAGCATGTAAACTATCTGTCGCAGCTATTTTGTAGTTTTGGAAATTTAACGATTTTTTAAATTTTAATAATATAAGATACCTCACAATGTAAAAATTAAATGGCGAAAATGTTCTTCTAGCCAAAACGAACGGATCTAGTGTATTATAACTAGTGTGTAACCAAATAATAAAAAAAAAAATACATTGAGTAAAAGATGACTGTGAGAAACTAAAATTCCATTTTTACAATTTTATTGCCGCACTCGAAATTCATTCTAAAATTGTTGTATACCTGAAGAAAGTAATACACATGTGCATAGGGAATACTGTGAAAAAATAAAATTTCGTTTGTTCTCTATACAAAACTGGGGATAACTGAGATAGCTGTACCTACCTCCATTTTCGACCAATGTAAGATTTGCTCATATACGTAAACATACAAATCTTACCTCGACTGTTGCATGTGGCTTTACAATTGCTGCACTCGAACTGCCGGTCGCCAATGTTTTTGCGGCATATTGACTATTCGATATAAGTTTACGATAAATTCGACATAAAGCATCTATTTCATCCCTTTAAAAAGAAATAAACATATAAGAGAGTTGAATAAGTTTTAATTTATTGAATTTTTCACGAGTCTGTAATAAAGCCTAACGATTAAAAGTTATTCATACTCATACTCGCTTGTTTCTTTGAAAATATTAGGCAGCGTGTAAAGGTCACGGGTCGTTCATATAAATCCTTATACCCCGCAACAGAACGTTATGTAATATAAAAAATGCTCCCATTATGGCAGAAGGTGTGCTCTTTCAATTGAGCTTGGTTTTGAATGTGTACAGTAATGTTGAAAACAACAAAAAATGTATTATTTATCTTTTTATGGCCTAAATGAAAGGAATATTACCTCAATAATTTTTGTTCATGTTTTTTCTAGCGACCGCCGCTGTGGTGTAGTGGTTAACAGTGCGCGCTACCACTTCGCAGCGCCTGGGTCAAGCCCTGGTCAAAGCTACATCGCAACAAAAAAATATAGAAAAAAGGGTTTTTTTTTTTTAACAGCGGTCGCCCCTCGGTAGACAATGGCAAACCTCCGAGTGTATTTCTGCCATGAAAAACAGCTTTCATAAAAAATACAATCGCCATTCGGAGTCGGCGTAAAACTGTAGGTCCCTCCGCTTTGTGTGACAACATCAACTAGAATTACATAACCGATCTATCTGCGAAACCAAAATTTTTCTAAAAATTCAGATTAAAAAGTTCAAAATTTAGATGAAAATTTGTTGAATTTTTCTACGTTCTGTATAAAGTTAGAAAGTTTGACTTATTTAGCTTCGATTAAAACATGAACCATTTTATTATAAAAAAGAATAATTAAAAAAGTTTAACTTGAAAAACATTGCAAATATCTAACAAAAAACACCATGCACTCACTTTTGATTGCCAGTGTATGTATATGAGCTCAGACTTATGCAAACAAACTGTTTTACAGTCAATGGTAACACTCCTTCTTTTCGCAATGAATCGAAAAGATTGCACGCACTGAAATCCTTTGTTATTGCTACATATCGTCACCTAAATTCACAAAGGCCCTAGCCAACAAATTTTTGATTTTACAGGAGAAGCAACAAACATTATAAAATCGGTATCAAAAACAGGTAGAGCTTTTTAAAAAGTGGCATGCAACTCCGTTGTTTGTGGTAATAACACTGGAAAATTTTTATTGAAGGTTTATTTTAATACATTCTACCAAAATCTGTGAGAAACGCAGTTTCGAAAAAGATGTTGGCTAGGGCCTTTGTCAATTAAGGTAACGATATGTATGTATGTTGAAATTAAAATTCAATACTAGATAGAAATCAACTGTTTCAAAGCAAATTTACACTCAATACTACACACGTACAAATCTCATTGCAGTAACGTGCATTTACCGGGGCGTATACGTTACATTAACTCATCACCAAGTAATTAAAAGTTACTCATACGACATGACTCGACATTGCTTAACAAAGAGTCATTATAAACTTGTAGCAAATGGGAGATAACAACATTTTCCAGTATGCTTTTCGATTTTGTTTGCATTTTTTTTAATGCTGTCGCTTTTTGCATACTTTCTCCTTTTCTTTAAGTAATTGCATATCGCTCGTTTGCTGGAAGTATCCCAAAGAGACAATTTAACGTCAGACCTTCGTTTACGTGGTGTAAAAAAATCGTCACGCTATCTTTACATTTTAATTCACAAGGAGAAACGCTTTATCCTTGCAGCTTTACTCATTTCCACCTTGTTTAGCAAATATAATAAGAAGGTCAGAAACCAAAGTGAGGTTTGATAAATTTCAAGATTATACTTTTTGAAAGCCCAATTAAAAACTTTAAAACCACTTTTCTGGCATTGTTTGATTAATGGTGTTAAGATATTCTTCCAGCAAACGACCGGATATGCCACATATGAGAGCACAATAACAAATTTACATAGTAATTCAACATTTAAACACTTTTCAACTCACTTG